AATCAGTCCCTCTGCCTAGCGTCGATGTAATCAGTCCCTCAGCCTAGCGTCGATGTAATCAGTCCCTCAGTCTAGAGTCGATGTAATCAGTCCCTCAGTCTAGCGTCGATGTAATCAGTCCCTCAGTCTAGCGTCGATGTAATCAGTCCCTCAGTCTAGCGTCGATGTAATCAGTCCCTCAGTCTAGCGTCGATGTAATCAGTCCCTCAGTCTAGCGTCGATGTAATCAGTCCTCAGCCTAGCGTCAATGTAATCAGTCCTCAGTCTAGCGTCGATGTAATCAGTCCTTAGTCTAGCGTCGATGTAATCAGTCCCTCAGCCTTGCGTCGAAGTAATCGTCCTCAGCCTAGCGTCGATGTAATCAGTCCCTCAGCCTAGCGTCGATGTAATCAGTCCCTCAGCCTAGCGTCGATGTAATCAGTCCCTCAGCCTAGCGTCGATGTAATCAGTCCCTCAGCCTTGCGTCGATGTAATCAGTCCCTCAGTCTAGCGTCGATGTAATCAGTCCTCAGCCTTGCGTCGATGCAATCAGACCCTCAGCCTAGCGTCGATGTAATCAGTCCCTCAGCCTAGCGTCGATGTAATCAGCCCCTCAGCCTTGCGTCGATGTAATCACTCCCTCAGCCTAGCGTCGATGTAATCAGTCCTCAGCCTAGCGTCGATGTAATCAGTCCCTCAGCCTTGCGTCGATGTAATCAGTCCCTCAGCCTAGCGTCGATGTAATCAGTCCCTCAGCTAGCGTCGATGTAATCAGTCCTCAGCCTAGCGTCGATGTAATCAGTCCCTCAGCCTAGCGTTGATGTAATCAGTCCCTCAGCCTAGCGTCGATGTAATCAGTCCCTCAGCCTAGCGTCGATGTAATCAGTCCCTCAGCCTAGCGTCGATGTAATCAGTCCCTCAGCCTAGCGTCGATGTAATCAGTCCCTCAGCCTAGCGTCGATGTAATCAGTCCCTCAGTCTAGCGTCGATGTAATGAGTCCCTCAGACTAGCGTCGATGTAATCAGTCCCTCAGTCTAGCGTCGATGTAATCAGTCCCTCAGTCTAGCGTCGATGTAATCAGTCGCTCAGTCTAGCGTCGATGTAATCAGTCCCTCAGTGTAGCGTCGATGTAATCAGTCCCTCAGTCTAACGTCGATGTAATCAGTCCCTCAGCCTAGCGTCGATGTAATCAGTCCCTCAGCCTAGCGTCGATGTAATCAGCCCCTCAGCCTTGCGTCGATGTAATCAGTCCCTCAGCCTTGCGTCGATGTAATCAGTCCCTCAGCCTTGCGTCGATGTAATCAGTCCCTCAGCCTAGCGTCGATGTAATCAGTCCCTCAGCCTTGCGTCGATGTAATCAGTCCCTCAGCTAGCGTCGATGTAATCAGTCCCTCAGCCTAGCGTCGATGTAATCAGAACTCAGCCTAGCGTCGATGTAATCAGTCCCTCAGCCTAGCGTCGATGTAATCAGTCCCTCAGCCTAGCGTCGATGTAATCAGTCCCTCAGCCTAGCGTCGATGTAATCAGTCCCTCAGCCTAGCGTCGATGTAATCAGTCCCTCAGCCTAGCGTCGATGTAATCAGTCCCTCAGCCTAGCGTCGATGTAATCAGTCCTCAGCCTAGCGTCGATGTAATCAGTCCCTCAGTCTAGCGTATATGTAATCAGTCCCTCAGTCTAGCGTCGATGTAATCAGTCCTCTCAGTCTAGCGTCGATGTAATCAGTCCCTCAGCCTAGCGTCGATGTAATCAGTCCCTCAGACTAGCGTCGATGTTAATCAGTCCTCTCAGTCTAGCGTCGATGTAATCAGTCCCTCAGTCTAGCGTCGATGTAATCAGTCCCTCAGTCTAGCGTCGATGTAATCAGTCCCTCAGTCTAGCGTCGATGTAATCAGTCCTCAGTCTAGCGTCGATGTAATCAGTCCTCAGTCTAGCGTCGATGTAATCAGTCCCTCAGTCTAGCGTCGATGTAATCAGTCCCTCAGTCTAGCGTCGATGTAATCAGTCCCTCAGTCTAGCGTCGATGTAATCAGTCCCTCAGTCTAGCCTCGATGTAATCAGTCCCTCAGTCTAGCGTGGATGTAATCAGTCCCTCAGTCTAGCGTCGATGTAATCAGTCCCTCAGCCTAGCGTCGATGTAATCAGTCCCTCAGCCTAGCGTCGATGTAATCAGCCCCTCAGCCTTGCGTCGATGTAATCAGTCCCTCAGCCTTGCGTCGATGTAATCAGTCCCTCAGCCTAGCGTCGATGTAATCAGTCCCCCAGCCTTGCGTCGATGTAATCAGTCCCTCAGCCTAGCGTCGATGTAATCAGTCCCTCGGCCTAGCGTCGATGTAATCAGTCCCTCAGCCTAGCGTCGATGTAATCAGTCCCTCAGCCTAGCGTCGATGTAATCAGTCCCTCAGCCTAGCGTCGATGTAATCAGTCCCTCAGCCCAGCGTCGATGTAATCAGTCCCTCAGCCTAGCGTCGATGTAATCAGTCCCTCAGCCTAGCGTCGATGTAATCAGTCCCTCAGCCTAGCGTCGATGTAATCAGTCCCTCAGCCTAGCGTCGATGTAATCAGTCCTCAGTCTAGCGTCGATGTAATCAGTCCCTCAGTCTAGCGTCGATGTAATCAGTCCCCTCAGCCTAGCTTCGATGCAATCAGTCCCTCAGTCTAGCGTCGATGTAATCAGTCCCTCAGTCTAGCGTCGATTGTAATCAGTCCCTCAGTCTAGCGTCGATGTAATCAGTCCCTCAGTCTGGAGTCGATGTAATCAGTCCCTCACTCTGGAGTCGATGTAATCAGTCCCTCACTCTGGAGTCGATGTAATCAGTCCCTCACTCTGGAGTCGATGTAATCAGTCCCTCACTCTGGAGTCGATGTAATCAGTCCCTCACTCTGGCGTCGATGTAATCAGTCCCTCAGTCTAGCGTCGATGTAATCAGTCCCTCAGTTCTAGCGTCGATGTAATCAGTCCCTCAGTTCTAGCGTCGATGTAATCAGTCCCTCAAAAGTCTAGCGTCGATGTAATCAGTCCCTCAGTCTAGCGTCGATGTAATCAGTCCTCAGTCTAGCGTCGATGTAATCCAGTCCCTCAGTCTAGCGTCGATGTAATCAGTCCCTCAGTCTAGCGTCGATGTAATCAGTCCCTCAGTCTAGCATCGATGCAATTCAGTCCCTCAGTACTAGCGTCGATGTAATCAGTCCCTCAGTCTAGCGTCGATGTAATCAGTCCCTCAGTCTAGCGTCGATGTAATCAGTCCCTCAGTCTAGCGTCGATGCAATCAGTCCCTCAGTCTAGCGTCGATGTAATCAGTCCCTCAGTCTAGCGTCGATGTAATCAGTCCCTCAGCCTAGCGTCGATGTAATCAGTCCCTCAGCCTAGCGTCGATGTAATCAGTCCCTCAGTCTAGCGTCAATGTAATCAGTCCCTCAGTCTAGCGTCGATGTAATCAGTCCCTCATTTTAGCGTTCGATGCAATCAGTCCTCAGTCTAGCGTCGATGTAATCAGTCCCTCAGTCTAGCGTCGATGTAATCAGTCCCTCAGTCTAGCGTCGATGTAATCAGTCCCTCAGCCTAGCGTCGATGTAATCAGTCCCTCAGCCTAGCGTCGATGTAATCAGTCCCTCAGCCTAGCGTCGATGTAATCAGTCCCTCAGTCTAGCGTCGAATGTAATCGTCCCTCAGCCTAGCGTCTATGTAATCAGTCCCTCAGCCTAGCGTCGATGTAATCAGTCCCTCAGCCTAGCGTCGATGTAATCAGTCCTCAGCCTTAGCGTCGATGTAATCAGTCCCTCAGTCTAGCGTCGATGTAATCAGTCCCTCAGTCTAGCGTCGATGTAATCAGTCCATCAGTCTTGAAAAGAATACAGCATATGCACGAAGTTGCTTATGTACTGTAGACAGGCGAGGTGAAGCAGTCGTAGGGATATCACAGTGGACATATCCACATGTGGAAATAGGTTGTGCCTATAGGTATGTTGATTTATCCACTGTGATGCCACCTACGATTGCTACCTCACCTCTCTACAGTATATTAGCCACTTCTTCGCACATATGCTGTATTCTCTTCACGATTGATGGACTGATTACATCGACTCAAGGCTGAGGGACTGATTACCTCAAACTCCTTCTGATCTTCACTATTCTTCTTTATGTAGGACTGATGAAGCCACTATGTAGAGAACGATTTCCTCGATAAAGATTCCCAAATGTTGAACATGTGTCTAAGTTATCAACTTGTCGGTTGAACATTAAAATGGTATAAAATACCGACAGGTTGTTAGGTAAGACACATATGCAACAGTTAGGTATCTTTATTTCGAAACGTTTCGCCTACACAGTAGGCTTCTTCAGTCGAGTACAGAAAAGTTGATAGAAGCAGACGATACTTGAAGACGATGTAATCAGTCCATCACCCTTAAAGTTTTGAGGTGGTCAGTCCCTCAGTCTGGAGAAGAGCATTGTTCCATAGTATGAAAAATATTGTTTCATATATGGAACAATGCTCTTCTCCAGACTGAGGGACTGACCACCTCAAAACTTTAAGGGTGATGGACTGATTACATCGTCTTCAAGTATCTTCTGCTTCTATCAACTTTTCTGTACTCGACTGAAGAAGCCTACTGTGTAGGCGAAACGTTTCCACAATAAAGACATGGAAGTGTTGAAACAAATGCCTAATTCATCACACTATTCCAGGTTACTGATGAACATTTCTCACCACAATCGCCTGTTAGTTAAATCCTTTGACACGAAAATATGAGTACTTCTTTCCCTAATCGGATGGAACACCTAGGCTGGTGCTCCAGCGGTTGCTTAACCGCTAGCTTAACACCGTTAATCTAGCGGTTCCTGCAACACTGATACCTTTCTGCACCGGTACCAGCAGCAGCTGATACGAATCTGCATCAAGAGGAACTGTCCTGTTTACTGATGATAAAGCGCCACTACTTGTAAATTCGAACTTCACTAATAACAAACACTGTGGTAATAGTTTTGCTGGGCTCTAGATCCGCAGTGAGGCGTGGTCTTACCTGACTAGACAAGAGTGTAGAGAAGAGTGTGTGAGGTTCCGGCCACGCCAGCCTTTATATATGTGTTTCACCTTGACCCTGGCGCATGCTCGGTAGCTCTTGAGATTGTTGGTCAGTTTCTCTGCTGTATGGTCGTTCAGTGATGGGTTACTGTTGTGGGTCACTGTTGTGGGTCACTGTTGTGGGTCACTGTTGTGGGTCACTGTTGTGGGTCACTGTTGAGCATATCGCTGGAAACGTACATCAGCTGACCATTAGTGTTGGAGCAACCAATCTGGCGACCATAAAATAAGACTCAAATATCCCACCAAAGAGTCTTGAAGGACTCTGTATCAACGCAAATCAGCTCTATCACAGAGTACCCAGCACCAGCAGTGAGCCTTCGCTTGAACAAACGAATATAGAAACTAGATAGAGCTTAGTAATTCTCTACGAGACTAATTCCGAGGTAGATCAATATGAAGAATTAATGCTAGGAAGGGGCCGTAACACTCGGTATAATTAGTAAATAACGACAAGTCATACAGGTGTCGGGAAGTGTTACCCCAGTTTGAGTTGCATCACACAAGACTTATAACACCGAAAAAAATATATAGAATAGACATATATGCAAGGTTAAGATGTTTTTATGAAGATACGTTTCGCTCACCAGTAACTATTACTGTAAGCTCCTGAGGAGAGAAACTCATTTTAACAAGTCTCTTAATATTCCACGTGTGTCTGTGTTATATAAGTATATAAGAAAGAGGAACACTGCAACAGGCCTACTGGCCTATGCGAGGCAGGTCCAATTCTCACACCAGTTTAAGCCAATGAACCATACCCCCGGCCGGGATTGAACCCGCGGTCATAGAGTCTCAAAACTCCAGCCCGTCGCGTTAGCCACTAGACCAGCTAGCCACAATAAGATTCATCCAACTAGGTATATTTCTACACCATAGGAAAGTTAGCACAGGCACCTCTGTGACCACAAATGCAAGTTTTTACAGACGAATCTCCAGCTAGCGTGGCCGTGACGTGGGGGTATGGTTTATTTGCAATCGTGTCATTACGATTTCTTGAGTCATGTTGACGGCAGTGAAGGGACTTGAGCTAGAGTTCGTCACGGCCACGCTAGCTGGAGATTCGTCTGTAAAAACTTGCATTTGTGGTCACAGAGGTGCCTGTGCTAACTTTCCTATGGTGTAGAAATATACCTAGTTGGATGAATCTTATTGTGGCTAGCTGGTCTAGTGGCTAACGCGACGGGCTGGAGTTTTGAGATTCTATGACCGCGGGTTCAATCCCGGCCGGGGGTATGGTTTATTTGCAATCGTGTCATTACGATTTCTTGAGTCATGTTAAGCCAATGCCTTGACCTAGTGTGGTCAGACACGTCACTTAAGGGAGGAGCACTGCATCCGAGCTAGTAGCACAAGCTAGTTAGGTCCAATTCACACCCACCCACACCCACTCATGTATTTATCCAACCTATTTTTAAAACTACATAACGTCTTAGCGTCTATGATGGAACTCGGGAGTTTGTTCCATTCATCCACAACTCTATTACCAAACCAGTGCTTTCATATATCCTTCCTGAATCTGAATTTTTCCAATTTAAAGCCATTGCTGCGAGTCCTCTCTGTGTTAGATATTTTTAGCGCGTTACTTACATCCCCTTTATTAATTCCTGCTTTCCATTTGTACACCTCAATCATATCATCCCTAATTCTACGCCTTTCTAGAGAGTGCAGATTCAGGGCCTCAGTCTATCCTCATAGGGAAGATTTCTGATACATGGGATCAACTTTGTCATCCTCCTTTATACGCTTTCCAGAGCATTTATATCCATTCTGTAATACAGTGACCAGAACTGTGCAGCATAATCTAAATGATGCCTAACCAAAGATATATAGAGTTGAAGAATAACCTGAGAACTTCTATTATTTATTCTTCTTGCTATGAGGCCAAGGATTCTGTTAGCTTCATTGCGAACACTAATGCACTGTTGTCTTTTTTTAGATTACTGCTAACCAGAACTCCTAAATCCTTTTAGCAATCCGTGATATTAAGATCTACATTATTTAGTTTATATGTGGCATAGTTATTTTCCTGTCCATCATTTGTCTATATTAAACTTGCATCTGCCACTTCTCCGACCACTGCATCAGTCAATTCAAATCATCCTGGAGTGCTCTAATGTCCTCATTAGAATGAATTGGACGGCCTATTTTGGTGTCATCAGCAAATTTGCTTATGTCACTATTTATTCCCTCATCTATGTCGTTTATGTAGATTGTGAACAACAAGGGGCCCAACACTGACCCCTGTGGAACACCGCTTGTGACGTGCCCCCATTCTGCTTTCTCCCCATTTATGCAAACCCTCTGCTGCCTTTTCGTCAACCATGCCTCTACTCAGGAAAAAAATTCTCCTGCTATTCCGTGTGCCTTAAGTTTCATCAATGGAACTCTATCAAAAGCCTTACTGAAGTCCATATACACAATATCATATTCATTACCATGATCTACCTCCTCAAACACCTTAGTGAAGAAAGTTAGTAAATTCGTAAGACAGGAACGACCCTTTGTAAAACTGCTGAGATTCATTAATCAATTTATGCCTTTCAAGATGACTACAAATTGCCTCGGCAATTATTGATTCCATAAATTTTTCCACTATGGAGGTAAGGCTTATTGGTCTATAGTTTAAAGCTAAGGACCTGTCACCTGCCTTGTTAATAGGTATTACATTTGCCATTTTCCACTTATCAGGCGCTATGCCAGTTTGTAGTGATATGCTAAAAAGATTAGCCAAAGGTATGCTAAGTTCCTCTTGACATTCCTTTAATACCCTTGCAAACAGTTCATCAGGAACTGGGGATTTGTTAGGTTTTAATTTCTCTATTTGTCTGAGACCACATCATATGTTGCCGAGTACTGTTCTACTGCCTACCAGTAACAATAAGGGGGATTACCAAAACCCCTAGCATCTTCAGCTGGCAGCTAGGACAAGCACCATAAAGTCAGTTCCTGATCACGGTCTGTGTCTCTACGTTGGGTTTTCTTGCAGCCAGCAGCACACCTGTTTTGATCAGGCGCTGAACCCAGGGCTGTCACTGCGACGGGCCGCGAGCGTTGACCCCCGAACTCTCTCCGGTTAATCCAGGTATGTTTCATATTTAATTATCTCATGTCCTACATAATCTTTTATATCAGGATTTCCTCGTTATGTTTTTCCTGGGATAAATGATGTAGAAGTAAGTATCGAAAATTTCACAATAGTTTCTGTCAGGATCTAACTAGTTGTTCTATAATTATGGGCCACATGCACCTATCTTACTTCTGATACCTGAAAGAACCATTTTGGTATTTTTCTTCGAATTCTGCGAGCTAACTATGCATCTTTACTTTTCTTATCTTTCTTTATTTACTCCTTTTATTGAAATATATTATTTATTACTGCCTCCTCTTTGACTACGCCATTAACCTCTATTATTGATTTCCTTTGGGATCATTTTTGTTGGATCTAATTTCCCTATTCAGAACAAAAGTTGTCTGGGCAGCTAGAACTATGCTCTGAAAAACGTCATATTGGCAACAAAGACCACCTACCTGACCCATAGTCAGGTCATCCCAATTTAGCTCACCCAGGTAATTTTTCAGTCCCATGAAATCGGCCAAGCGGAAGTCTGGGACAGAGATTTGATTGCAGTTATCCGGGTAACTCCATGATATATTGAAACTAAGTGATTTGCGATTGCTTTCCCCAAGCTCATCATTAACCTCAAGATTATTAATGAGTGATTCTTTGTTGGCAAGAACCAAGTCAAGGAGTTTGTTTCCTCTAGTTGGTTCTGTCACAAACTGTTTTAAAAAGCATTCCTGAACCGTATCAAGAAAGTTATTAGACTTAAGATTTCCTGTCACATTGTTCCAATCAATTTGTCTAAAGTTAAAATCTCCCATTATTACATTTTCATATCTGGATGCCTTATGAATTTCGTCCCATAACAGCTAACCGCACTCCCTGTCAAGGTTTGGGGGCCTATGAATCACACCCAAAATTAATTTGTCACGACCCTCGAGAAACTGTAGCCAAACAGATTCTGTGTCTGATGTTTCTAATCTTATATCATGTCTAAGACAACAATTTAAATTATCTCTGACATACATCGCCACACCACCACCCTTCCTGTTGACCCTATCAGTGTGGCATTTCTCCATCTTTCAGGGTGAGCCATGTCTCTGTTATAGCAGTAATATCTATATTACCTGCACTTGCAAGTAATCTTAGCTCATCTATCATAGTTCTTAGACTTCTACTATTTATATAGTAAACCTTAAGGGAGCTAGTCACTCATTGCCTTCTACTATCTCTGTTTGTTGATCAATTGCTTTGCCTTTACAAGCAACTTTATTTTGAATATTGTCTTTTAAACATATTCCTGAGGTATCCTGGTAATATCTATGTTTACAACCCTAATACTGTAGCCTGGTTGTTTCCCACAAACGCCTATACCTCTATAATCTATCAGTTTAAAGTCCTAGACAAGTCATCAATTACCCCCTCAATCGAATTGGCTAATGCAACCACTCCAGCCCCAGAGAGATGAACCCCATCCCTTGCATACATGTCACGTTTGCCATAGAATTTGTCCGAGTCATCAATGAATGGGATTGCAAGTGCCTTGCAGTACCTGTCTATCCAGCAATTTATACCAGTTGCCCTAGACATCCATTCATTGCCCACTCCCTTTCTAGGCAAGATGCTACATATGATTGGGATTCCTCCCTTAGACCTGACTACTTCTATGGCTGACCTGTACTTATCCAGTAACTCCTGTCTCCTGCCCTTCCCAATGTCATTACCCTCAGCACTAAAACAGATAATGTGCTTGTTCCCATTACCTGACATAACGTTATCCAAGCTGCTTCTGGGAGGCACACCCTCTGTCTGACCTTCCTATCTCTGTTACTGAAAGCACAGTTCATATATCTTACCTGAGAATCTCCTACAATTAGAATATTCTTACCTTGATTAGCCG